GCGCCCGCGGGGCGGGCTTTGTCCGCGGGCGGGAGAGAGACGGGGAGAGACGGGGAGGGAGACGGGGAGAGAGACGAGGAGGGAGACGAGGAGATGGGGACGGAGACAGGGAGACGGGGAGGGAGACGGGGAGAGAGACGAGACGGGGAGACAGGGAGAGAGGCCGAGGACAGAGGCTGGGAGGCCGGGAGAGAGGAGTGGAGGCCAGGCCGGGAAGAGAGTTGGAGAGGTGGGGCGAGAGGCCTGGAGGCAGAGAGGAAGCTGGGGAGACAGGATCTCGAAGGGAGGCCAGGCAGGAAGGTGGAGGCCCCGTGCAGAGACAGGGAGGCCGAGGCCCCGATGGCCGGGCAGGGACTGTGGGGGAGGGTGGGGCGGCCACAGGCCTGGCCCATCCCCTTCTCCGGTAGCAGCCTCACTTATGTAACACGTGGGTTGGGTTTGTTTTGCCAAGACGGGAACCTCCCTGCAAGCAGGCACCCCGGCACACACAGGGAGCAGCAGGGCGAACAGGCCTGGCTCCAGGATGCCTGCAGGAGGGCGCCTTCCAGTTCACATGCAGCTCCGCCTCCTTGGGCCTTGTTAAGGGAAGTAACTGTTGCGCTGTAATGTACGGAAAAGCCACTGTCCTTAGCGTACCCTTGAGTTCTGGTAAGTGTGGGGACACCCAGAGGTCCACCCCCAGTAGAGAAGACCCTCCTTCCCTGGGCAGCTCCCAGGGCCTGTTAAGTGCGTCTCACCAGGCATCGCTGGAAGGAGGCGCTCCTTCCTCACCCTCTGAGCTAGGGGTCTCAGGCCCCTGGCCTGTGTGCTCCTGCGCTGACGGTGGGCAGCAGAGGCTTGGTGACCACTGCGCAGGCCGGCAGAGAGCTGATCGGAACACCAGCTGTGTGTGGCAGTCCGATTTGGCCTGCCAGCTGCAGTCAGCACCCCAGTGCCAGTCGGTCCCCCAGAGGCGCAGGGTCTGGGTGGCGCTGGAGGCCGGGGGTGGGGAGGTGGGGGGGTGGTGGGGTGGTGGTGCTGCTCAGTGCTTGCGGCTCAGCAGAGTGGCCGGAGAGCGTCTGCTTACAGGGGGAGAGACCCAGCGGCTGGCGGTAGGGGTGAGGGGGGTGAGTG